CCAGGTTGCTACAACCTTGCAAGGTTGTGAACTGGTTGTAACAAGCTTGTAGCAAGCTTGAAATTTTTATATGGGTGGTATCATTTCTTCTCTCTCTCATATCAAGGAGACTGCTACCTCTAATGCTGGAGCTATCAATGATATACTGCTACTAGTGGAAGACCTTATCATGTTACACAATGACTCATCTTCCTTCTCTCCTATCCCAACTTCTTGTCAAGAGATTAAGAACAAACAACCAAACAGTCCTTCTGGTGTATACCTACTGGCAACTAACGATGAAACTAAACATACTTACTGTAATATGGAGGAGCTATGTGGTTCAGAAGGAGGATGGACAAGACTAGGATATCTGGATATGACCGATGCTACAGTGAACTGTCCTTCTGGGTTTAGACTGTACCAGTCAGGAGGAGTTAGAGCTTGTGGTAGAGCAACATCAAATGTAGGCAGTTGTACATCAGTTCAGTTTCCATCTAATGGTATCAGTTACTCTGAAGTGTGTGGTAGAGTAGTAGGATATCAATGGGCATCACCTGATGCAGTTGATCCTACTGTTGATGGCCTTGAAAATCACAATGATATTAATTCCTATTATGTTGATGGTGTTAGTATCACTCATGGGTCTCCTCGTCAACATGTCTGGACACTAATGGCTGGACTGCTTGAATCCAGTATCTTTAATCCTACTAATGACCGTCGTTACAATTGTCCTTGTTCTCAAGGTAGTCCTCAAAACTCAACTCTTCAGTCTTTCATTGGTAATGACTACTTCTGTGAATCTGCTAACCCTGTTCATGGTACATTTCAATCCAAACTTTATACATCTGATCCATTGTGGGATGGTAAAAAATGTGGTGGCTCCGAAAGTGATTGTTGTACATCTCGTCCTGGTCTTCCATGGTTCAATAAGGTACTAAACACTGCCACTACAGACTACCTTGAGCTAAGGGTCTGTGGAGATGAAGACACAGCTAATGAAAATGTTCCCATTAGCTATTATGAGTTGTATGTGAAATGATGAGACAAACTAATAAACAGTTTATACTTCGTAGTTAGTTAGTACAATATTAGATTATTTGAATTAGTTATTGTTAGTAAATTGTCTTGTTGCAGATACATATTGATCTCTACCTTTTGTAGAAGATATGTGTATTGAATTTTTTTGAATAATGCATTACTTTTGCTGTGACAATAATTAGCAGCATATCATGCCCAGACTGTTAGCTATTAGTTAGCAATAATTAGCAGCACTACTACTACATCGCCACACTTGACTATATGTGAGACCACAGTAGCCTCAGCTACATACGTATATGTTAAGATTATTAGTGTGTGGAGAAAAGCTAACAGTGAAACTGTAAGAGCCACTTTGGCTATGTTACAAAGTATTTTTTAGAAATTAGCTAATTTTTTAGCATGGCCTTAAAACTCCAGATATTCTTGTTGTTATCGATCACCTTGAAACTTTCTACACAAGGCATCAATATGCATTAGTGAATGTAATAAAAGTTGGGGGTGATATGAGGATGGGCTATAATAGTATAGGATATTTTTCTGAAATTGGCCCATTTTTAGAATCAGCCATAACTCCAGAATTTTTTTAACCAGCTCAAACTTTCTACAGAGGATAAGGACATCAATATGCTTCAGGCATTGCAATAAGAATCACGAGTGATTTTGGAGTCATTTTTTGGAAAAAAGCATGGGCTATATATAGTTGCTGTTGTGGACAAGGACAAGCCATAAATAACTGCCTTTTCTCTTTTTGCAAGAATAATCATCATGCATGATAACACCTGACATACAACCTTTCCTGCATTTGTTTTATCCTTGCACTAAACAAAGAAAATAAAAAACATTTTTGAATGACACATTTACGTCTAATACAACCAATGATCACTACACATTCATCTCTTCAGTATTCATCAACTTCTTTAGCTACTGAAGACTAGTTGTTAGATTGAGATGATGAAAACAGAGTCTGGAATAAAACTAAAAAGAGCCTTAATCTTCTTTGGAGGAGGTTCATTGCAAAGATCTTGAGTTACTACTTCCATTGGTATAGCTACCTATTTCTAAGAACTGCCTGTATAAATTAGCCGATAGGATGCTGGTACTGGGAAAAGGAGGCATAACCAGCAAAACGTTATCACGTTTGAGCAAAATGAATCAAATTCTCTTTCTCTGCATCATTGTTGTACTAAAAAGAGTTAACTGTAAAAGAGTTTGTACAATGTTTTAGAAAGTTGATGTAATAATTTGTGAGCCAACAATTACTGACTGACGGGACATGTTGCTATACTGAAAAAAAGAGACAAAATGAATATCCTGCTTTACCTACTGTCACTTCACTGCTGAATGTAGCCTCTACATTGGTGAGTCAAGGTATAGCTCTACTTTGGGTGATGAAGTGTTTGAGTATGACTCTGGATCACACCAAAGGAAGGCATCAATAGAGCGTTGTATTTCCATAACCTACCCTGAAGTTATACACATGTAATAAAATAGATGAGGTAAAAGGAAGCGCATCACTCTCATTATTTTATCTAGTTGTCATGACATTAGTTTTAACAGCTGACCTTCACCCTTTCCTGCATCTGTTTTATCGTTGCACTAAATAGAGAGATTAAATATCTGCCTTTTCTTTTTTGGCAAGTCCAACATGCATGGTAACAGAGACTTGTCTGTGGATGTAGCTTACTATTCCAGCAGTAATCGTGTTTGGTAATGATGAAGGCGATCCGAAAGCCATGACCCACTCTCCAGGCCTCAAACTACCTGAAGAACCTAAGACTGACCTCTGCATCTGTTTCATGATCCTTGCACTAAACAGAGAGATGTAAAAATATCTTTGAATGACACATTTACTTCTAATACAACCAATGATTCCACTGGTTTCATTAAATTGACAAATATGAGTTCATCTGGGTTTTCCAATAATTTACAAGTCTTCTTATATACGTCACCACTTTCCTTTTTCACTGAAACTATTACATCACTTAAGAAATTGCAAATCTGTTGGTTAGTGTTGGCTGTGCTGATTAGTCTGTAAAAAAACAAATAATAGAATTGATTATGGCTTTAGATTTTATGACTGATTGTTGGCTCATTCTTTTACCCTCCATTGTCATACTTTTTGGTTTGTATGCTTGTTTTTCATTCATGTCAATATTTTCAGCAATGCAGATGTTCTCACATCTTCACAAGCTAAATTACCTATTATTGTGTCCATTTATCTTCTTTCCCTTGCCCCATATTGCTTGACCTTTTACAGGAAGAGTCATAGTAGTGATGTTTTTGCTTTTCACAATTTTTTTTAGTAGGAAGTACCAAGTGCTTCCTCTTTGAGAACCACTTGACCAAGTAGTATAATAATGGCATTTATGAGTAGATGTCTGTCATAAATACTAAGTATAATGCAAAAAATCGAAACACCATGTCAATGGTTCTTCAATTTCTTTTATGCATGAACCTGTCTTTTGAAGCCATAAGTGAAGCTGCAACTTCATTTTAAGAAAGAGTGGAGTACACTGTCTTCTTTGCTCAAGTGCTACCACTCGTGAGTGCCACAATATGCATCCTAAAAATACAAAGCACTTCTCTTACTCCACCATTCTTGACAATCGTCTGGACATTTGTCTGGTCATCCATACTGGATATATTGCATGATTTGTGAGCAGATGGGGTCTTTAGCTGTCCACTCTCTAATTTTAGCTACTGTAATAGGCTGATCTTGAAAATGCTGCATCAGTAACATGAGCTCCGCTGGTACTGGTGGTTTCAGATGAATGCCTGGTAAACGACTCATAGTATCAGCATTTCTGTCTTCTGGTGTAGAACGAAAAGTTACAGAATAATCATACATTGAGTGTTAATACCCATCAGTATAATGGGAAATCATGTGTGCTATAATGCATGAATTACACGCAAAATGTGTAAGTCAGCTACTGTACATGTATGCATAAAACACTACATGTTAGCATTTCTTCTAGGAGATGGAATAGGCAATGGATTGACTAGTCATACACTACGCTTTATGACTTAAAATAAAAAATTAAATTAGTTTATCAACTACACAGACAGTCAGACACTATAACCTGCACATACTACTAACCTGTGCATGTACTGGCACAGCTTTGCTTGGATTAAGCAAAATCTTCAATGCCTTTTCATCTGTTATTAATGTAAAATGCTGGCTATACAAATGCACATCAAACTATGTATCATTATTTAAACAAGCTCTTTCAAAGGAGACAAGTGCATCAGACACTATATCCTTGGTGGCTCCAGACAGTTTCTTCTCTAAAGACTCATAGAAGCTCATGGCCTGAGTGAAAGTGATATTATCAAGCGGCCCTGTTGTATTATTACACAAAGAACAGGCATGTAAAAACCGATACCTGTCAAAGGAATTGGGGCAAGTACCATAGCATCAATAGGAGTAGTGTATTTTTATGTGATATATCTTACGCAAAACTCCTTTCATAGCCTATATCAAAGTATAAAGTTATTTATTTGACAATACAGCAAGAATAGACTTACTTGAATTTCCATAATTGCTCTTTTTAAAATCTCTTATTTCGTTCCCTTTTTGGGCTTTGGCTCACTGATATTGCTGGCAATCCCTTTTCCTTAGCAATTGGTTGTTTTGCTTCCTCTTTTAAGTCCAGGAGATGACTCATAAACTATACTTCCTATATTATGATAAAGCAAAGTAAAAATGAAAATTTGCCATTTTGTTCAGTAGTTTGATTTATTAAGAAATAATGTGCCTGTGGTCTTGTATACAGTATTAAGGACAGAGAGTGTGATATTTCTTTTGTGATCTGTTGAATTGGTGACGCAATAGGTCAAATAAAAATTTAAGAAATATCCTGTCATTTTGGCCATATTACAACAAATGAAATTCATCAAGCATAAAAAACCCACTTGTAATTAAATTATTGAGTTGCAGCTATACATTCTCCCTGTGTATTGATATACATTTGATGTATGTGTATTTTATAATGGTCTCTCCTCCACTTTAGACCTCCATAATATTGAATTTGAGTATTCCTGAGTTGCTCTCAATACAGCGTTGCTGGGCTTCACTGGATGAGCTTGAACACACTCCAAAAGATGCTCCCCTCAAGTTCCTTTCGTCCTTAGCATTTTCTATTCCAATTAGTGCCCGACTGGATCATCTTGATGAATCTTCATCTGTTGCAATTCAGGTACTTGTAAATTCTTTATAGTTTTTACTGTACTTTAAATTAAGTTATTAATTTTAAAATTATTTTAATAGTATTTACTGAACTTTTCATTGTAATGTCAATCCCTGATTCAAATGTTAGAATGGAAGGTGTTGTTTTGTGAGCAGCTATCAAAGTATCAATTTTGCCAAAAGCCATGTTTTTCCAAAAATATGTATGCATGTTTTATGCTGCATACATGTATTTTATGGTGCATATACATGTATCTAGAAAGTTTGAGCCAATTCCAACTTCAATTTTTCAAGTTACCATCATTATTTTTTTTAATTAGCAAATTTTTAGAAAAAAGCAAACACTATATATAGCCCAGGGATGTTTCCAAAAAATGGCTCCGAAATCACCCCCACTTTTTATTACATTTTTTGATACATATTGATGTCCTTATGCTATGTAACAAGTTTGAGTTTATTCCGATTTCCATTTTTTGAGTTATGGCCAATTTAAGAAAATGCCAAAATTCTGAAAAATACTTAAGGCTATAGCCCATGGTTTTTGCCAAAAAATGACTCCAAAATCACCCCCAATTTTTATTACATTTTCTGATACATATTGATACCCTTATGCTGTGTTGAAAGTTTGAGGTAATTCCGACTTCAATTTTTCAAGTTATGGCCATTTTAAGAAAACGCCAAAATTCTGAAAAATACCCAAGGCTATAGCCCATGAATTTTTTCAAAAAATGGCTCCAAAATCACTCCCAATTTTGATTACATTTTTTGATACATATTGATGTCCTTATGCTATGTACAAAGTTTGAGCAGATTCTGCCTTCAATTTTTTGAGTTATGGCCATTTTTAAAAAAACACCCAAATTCTGAAAGATACCCAAGCCCATGGAATTTTTTGAAAAATGGCTCCAAAATCACTCCCAATTTTTATTACATTTTCTGATACATATTGATGTCCTTATGCTTCATAACAAGTTTGAGTTTATTCTGATTTCAAATTTTTTGAGTTACAGCCAATTTAAGAAAATGCCAAAATTCTGAAAAATATCCAAGGCTATATATATATATATCCATGGATTTTTTCAAAAAATAGCTCCGAAATCACTCCCAATTTTTATTACATTTTTTGATGCATATTGATGTCCTTATGCTATGTACAAAGTTTGAGCAGATTCCGACTTTAATTTTTGAGTTACGGCCATTTTAAGAATACGCCAAAATTCTGCAAATTACCCAAGGCTATAGCCCACGGGTTTTTTCAAAAAATGGCTCCAAAATCACTCCCAGTTTTTATTACATTTTTTGATGCATATTAATGTCCTTAATTCTTTTGCTTTGTAAAAAATTTGAGTTGATTCCAACATCCGTTTTTCAAGTTATAGCCATTTTACGAAAATGTAGAAATTCTGAAATATATGTAGCTTTGGGTATGCCCAAGGCTACATGCCTTACTTGTCAGCTAATGAACCTGCTGATTAGCTCACTTTGCATGCTTTATGGGAAACCCCGTGTTTGTTTTTTTTTTCAATTAATGTACATCATAGTTTAATTGTATTAAAGGTGTGGTTTCCTGATGGTAGAGTGTTGACCTTTGATCCTCAGCCTTCTGATATCCGCCCACTCACTCCTGGTACTCATAAACTCAATCACAAACTAATCATATCACATGGGAAGTGGACCGGTAGGATTTATTACTATACATGTGTTCTGTTGTTTTTCTATTTTTTCTCAATATTTTACTGTATGTTTTACTGTACATCCAATATTAGCTTAATAATGTCCAGTATTATAGTTAAGCTAGGTTTACATGTACACGTGCATGTACATTTGATGAAACGTCAAAAGCACATTGGTGATTTAAACATTTGATACAAAAATGCTTTGAAATTCACAAAGAATTCACAAAATTTAAATTTTGCAGTAATTTGTGTTGTATTTTGAGTTGAATATAAACCATGTGTGTTTTAGTCATTGTGATGTTTATAATAATTCTGTTATTCTGAGGGAATTAATTGACTGTCCCTTTTTTAAGGTTTTGTTGAGAGTCTTGAAATTAGAACTCACAAAAATAATAGATAATACTGTGCAAAATGACGAAATGTTTTAATTTGCAAATAATTTTTGGGCAGATTTACAAAAGTTTAATCTATCAATAGTTCCTGGCTATAATGGCGTGTAACTTTAAACTTAACTCTTCTCTCTCTCTCTTATTTTAGATGCTCTAATGATTGAACTAAGTGTCATTCGTCATCATTCATTGGACATTCCCTCAGAGTCTCAATACATGTCACTAATAACCAAACTAATAAAGAGAGGAGAGGGTCAGACCTCATCCTCCAGTCACATGATCACTTCAGACTCCATTCAATCCTCTTCCCCTCATATGGTTGGGTCTGTTCTTATCAGTGACATCATCAAGTTGAGGATATTACCACAAGATACTCTTGCAAGAGGTTATAATGTGTTTGGACCAACTTAGAGTAGAGAGACTGAGGAGGGAAGGAAATAATTTTTATAGTTCATGACTTTATCATTTTTTCAGTATTAAATTTCATAATTATTAGGAATGTATTCAACATTGACTGGAGTTGTCATGCAGGAGGGTGTGTAATAACAAGTGCTTATCAGAAAAATTCCACGTTTACTCATGCACCTCAGTTGTTGGATTGGAACAGAATTTTTTCCTGGCCAAAGTGTCTCGTTTACACCACAGACCAATTTAAATAAAAGTGATTCAGAAACCATGTGTCCCCATGTAAACTGGTTTGTTTCAAGAAACAAGAGCATAATTTAAATGGGGCTATAGAATAGCCCACTATTTATAGTGTATGGTACCATGTCCAATCATAAAACCATACTAGTACACTTCGACCATGCAATTAAGGTGAACAATTTAAGACACTATGGATAGAGTTTGAGACATAAGTCAGCTCCATTGCTTCATGGCAGATGTCAAATACTGTATAGGGGGTATATTTCACGGGAATAAATTCCACCTAATGTCATGGTTTTAAAAAATTTGTGAAAATTTTTATCTATGAAAATTATTATTTACAATACTAATATTGGTCAGTAGAAGAAAATTGCAAAAAAATTTTCTTCTGAAGAGGTTGAAAGGTGATTTTTGTGACATATTTCCCCCAGAAAATATACCACCATACAGTAATGCTGTTATGATTAGAGTAAAGAAAATAAGACTTCAGACTAAAGAAAATTAATGTATGCTTATGTTTCTGTTCAAAAATGAATTGAATGAATAACAATAGCAAAACATGAATAACAATTACATAAATGAATAACTAACAATAATGCACTGCACTAAATTAGTAAAAAAATCCTGCATGCATCACATTAGAATTGCATGTAAAATGTAGTGTATACAATTTTATAAAGCTTAGCTAGACAATAATCGTTTTTATGCTTGGTTAATACCGTATTTTGTTTTAATGTAAATGGCAATAGATTTCTCTTCTATTGTATCCAGTGCTGTGGCTAATGATGACCAACTGGGACCTCCTTTCTCTCTCACTTTATCTTCTCCTTTTACCCATGCAGACATACACTCACGGAAACACTCCACTGGATCTCCTCTATTCTTCTTATCTATATCCACTAGTCTAGGATCATATAATCCTAACTGTAGACCTAGTCTGTGCCATACAGAATATGGCAAGTGCTGATCTGATGTTAATTCTTTAATGACTATATCAAGATTATTAATATCTATAAAAAGAATAATAATGTGTATATACACTGTACAATCTACACTCCCACTAATTGACAATTTGTAATAGTGCATATTACAGACATACTTGGCTTTATTGCAGTCAATGGTGCGTTAAATTCTTCAGTCACTGGAATCAATTCCTATAAAATAATAGTGGTTGTATTAATGTATCGGACAGTTTGTGCATGTGTGTTAATTCCTACCTTAATATCACGTCCTCCTAATAGTGACAGGTTACTAACATCTAATAATGATTCATCATGTAGGATCTTGTTCAATTCTGTACTTGTTCCATTATCATGAACTAAAAACTCTTCCCTCCTGTCCATAGCAGACAGTATATCTTTTACACTATACACTGTCCTTCCTCTTGGTGTATTCACAGGATAGGATAGTTCTTTAGGATCAATAACTAACTCTTTTACCGCTAGACTGGGACAGGATTCTTTATAAACACTCATTACCTCTCCTATCACATCTCTTCTTAGAGACACCATGATGTGTTGTTTAAAGGACATCATTACTAGTACACACTGGCTCTCATCCACAATCTCTACCAGTGATCCTACACCATGACCATTAGACCAATAGAGTCCATTTTTCCAGAATGTACAGCGTCGATTTAACTTGTTGTCTTTTTGAGGCTTAGCCAATTTAAAAGCAAGATGTAATGAGAGGATGTGGAAGTATCGAGGAGGAAAGAAATGATGTTTACTAGTACACTGTAGACACCAACCAAACTGGTACACTTGACTAGTTATCTCATCAGGTCTATCAGTAGACAAAAGACATGGAAAGAACAACAACCTTTCTTCTCTTTTTTCTCTCCCTCCCTCCTCCTCTTCCACTGCTAACTGATGAAGGTTTGTCATTCTTAGGAAAGATGGGTCCATTTCTTGACAGAGTTCCATGTTCTTTAGGAAACAGATCAACATGTTAGAATCATACTTAGGAAAGAGTATAGTCAGACCAGACACACTAACAATACCAGTATTGCTAGCAATGTCAATGTGTTCTTTGAATGTTTTTGGAGCAAAGAGAATCCCATCCACCTCAGTTAGTAGTATACCCTTATTCACAACCCATACCTTGTCTTCACTTTTAAGAACACTGATCAAACCAGTTGACTGCAACAAATGAAGAGTATCCAAGATATCTTCTCTCTTGTCTGGTATAACATAATTGTCCTTACCAGCAGACATTACATCAGGTAGGGTCAATATATTCTCTTTCCTTTCCACCAGTAGTCGGTACACTTCATGATCATAAAGACTGAATTTATTCCTTCTTGTACTACGGATGGACTCACAGGCACTAG